AGGCAACCTATACTACCAAGCGACCAGGTAGTTATGGCGCTTAAGTTCTGCCGACTGTTTAAAACAATGCAGCGTAACCATAAGTATACAATCAATTTTTCGCTTGCTTGGGTGACAGGTCTTCGCCGGAGACAATTCCAATTCCACTGACAAGTTTTACCGGCCGTTTGACCACTCCGGCTGAAATGATCTTCTTGGAAGGCTTCCGTCTGATATGGAACCGGATTTTGCTCTTGATTTTGGATATCAACCCTTGTTTCGGGATGCTTAAGCGTAAGCATGGAGATATATCGTATCCGGAATTTTTCCGACGTCGACCGTTGGAAAAAGGTATAGCAGCAGACCTTTCGCCATTTCTACATGTTGAATAGCCAGGCTTTTCATTGTTTGGTGTCTTTGGAGCCATAATATCAAGTGTCTCCTTGCCATAAGCCTCGGACAAGAATGAACGGGGCTTTCTAGGCGAAGCACCTCCATTGTCCTGGTGAAGATGATTAGATCAATGCGTGGCTTAGCCATAGCGTTGCAAGGGTCCAGGGGCGGAACAATATAGCAACCTGGTTTGATTAACATACAGAAGGGTTTCTGCTCTTTGAACATGTCAGGTCTTGTCCCGAGTGACCAGTGTGGAGACAATGGTCTGTCTGGCCCGTAGTTGCAGCCAACATTGTAGTTTGCCAGTTTATTCTTCGTATACAGAGACTTAAATTATTTATAGGCCTACATAATTAGACATGTATCAAAACAAGGTAATATCCATGCATTCCAACTGGCATGATGGGTTGTTTTGATAGTCGTCTATGAAGCCGGAATGCTATACTCAACGGAACCGTCCGTCTGCGCATCCCTCTCGACGAATCGCCCAACGTGAGGCGCTGCAATAAAGGCCGAACATACCTTAAAACGACTAGACATACGTCCTTGCACACTACTTTCATCTTTCCATTTCCGAAAAGATAACGTAAGGAAACAAGGGGTAACAACCAAAGTTCCTATTGGAGGGACAAAATTCCGTCCAATTGTTATGTTTCACAGGAATTCCGTGCTGTATTAGCGATATCATCCACCCACTCATGGGGGGTGCTTTACATCGTGGCCCTTGGCCTCTTTGTGATGGGTCATAGCGCAGCCTACAGTTTGGCTTCCTGATAAATGAAACTTTGGACGCCATGACGGACTTGCTTTTCCAGTGTTTTACGGGTATCATTTGGAGTATGCTGTGCTTTGAAGCGGTGAGAAAATAGATGAGATGGACGTGATGGGATTGACTGGTACAGGATCAAGCTCAATCAGCTCAATAGCCACCTTAGAGATCAGAATAGTACAAATATATGCTAAGTACTACACCAGTCTGAATAGGGGGTGTTGCCCTGGTCTCAACATCTTGTGCTTTACGTTATGTTACTCAATTATCCCGTAATGTAGATACCAACGGGTCGGATCATCCTACTAATAATCTTCACATAGCCAGCAGAAAGTTAGTGGTCTCTCTCCCGTAGTAGTAAAATCCCTAGCCTCTTTTATAAATGCTGACGCTGTAGGTCCCTATTCCAATAATCTCGGGAAATAATCATTGTTCTACGTGCCGATGCCTTCTTGGAGAGTGACTGACTGACCGCTAAGGTGACCCGAGTTCAGGGGCAGGCGTTTGATGAGCCCAACACTGTTCCAGGCGGGTTTCGCGAACAAAATGCTGTTCGTATGCACAAAATAATGGTTTTTGGGGGGCGCGACAATGGTCATGGAGGTGAAACTGCCCCGATGACTGCTTTTCCTTCTAGCTCGCACAGTAGCATACGTGATCCAAATACCCATAGACTGGGGGGCTACTTGAATTGTGTGTTATCTGTTTGAATTTTACCAAGTATGAGAAACGTTATAAGCATGAACCAAACTAGGTATGACACCCAGCTCATACATTCTTCCAAGGTAACGGTGTGGTTGGATGGAAACGGTATCCGCCAATCAGGGTGCTGCTCATCCCGTGGCAGACATCTACGTACCTCGCACTAATAACCATCAGCTGGTCTTAAAACAACGAGGTAAATACGACGCCCCGTGGAGCACGCAGGGGGTTTCATCAGGAATCCCTCCTTAGCGGTTGGATAAGTTCAAATGCCAACAGAGTGCGTTATTCTTTCATTGGCTTTTGACATCCTCCCTTGGTCTTTCATGATTGCCCTCCATTTTTTCTTTTTCGAAGTTTATCCCTTCCCACTTTCGTCATCGTTTTGCAGCTCATATATTTGGGTTGATGGGTTGACCTCTAGCATGTTGCAGATCTCTTACCAGTATCCAACGAGCGGTGCACTTTTTCCTTTCCATTGAAATACTTTAACGCGAATCATAACTCGCAGTCATGGCTTCAAAAGAAAATTTGTCGTTGTGCTGCACTTGGAAGAATTGTGGCAAGGTAATTATTAGCTCTGGTAGTTGACTCAGACAGATATTATAACAGGGAGCTCTAGGCGTTCACCCGCAAATCGGACCTTCGTCGCCATATCCGGGTCCATACCGGAGAGAAACCTCACAGATGCACTGCAACTGGATGCAACAAGAGTTTCGTCCAGCGCAGTGCCCTGACTGTTCATTTACGGACTCATACTGGTGAGAAGCCTCACTTATGTGAGCATTCTGGCTGCGAAAAAGCATTTGCAGACGTTAGTATGGATGATCAGCCTCAATTTGCAACATTATCTGACCTTTGCAGTCCTCCGGCCTAGCCCGTCACCGCAGAACCCATATACAAAGGAAATCGCAACGCGGTTTTGAAGAGCAGAATTGTAAGGGAGCGTAAGTAAATCATTTGCGAAAGCACCTGGGATTCCCACACTAATAGTCATCAAGGTACTTCCATGAGACAGACTATTTCAGAAACCAACATCTCTCTCCTTATTTTACGCCTATCTCAAATGACCAAGATGTCCATACAGGCTCCTTCCTTTATCCGCAATCAGAAACTCCATTCCTTAGCAACCTTTACACAACGGAAGATCTCAAGATTGACTTGGATCCGGCCGATGAGAGTACGGTGCCAGTTCCAACGCAGAATATCCGGCCCCTTTACCGGCTACCTTCCTTCACTTGGCTCCAGTTGCCTGAGGTACATGCCCTTCTCATGGATAATTATTTCAGCTTCTAGTCCAGTGCCTCAGCGTATATCTCGGCCTCTACCGGTAATACGGACAGTTCGTGTTCTTTTACCATTGCCAAACACAGCGAATGGGGACAGAGAAGCAATAAAAAAGTGCAAGTGGTGGCACCGTTTTCTACATGTTCTGTTACTTGAAAGACTTACCTTATGGCGATATCCTCCTGCGTTATATCTGATGGCCCAGCCCATTCCCACACTTTAGGTATAATGCATTATCGTTCTCTGCTTCAGAGTAAGATCACAGAAGCCTTTACTACGTCACCGACCTACTCATGAAGAAAGTTTGCCCCGTGTTACCGTTCGTTCTCATCACCTGGAGCCCCAAACTGCGTCTTTTGATGAGCAAGTGCCTCTGTCATGAATGTCCCAGGGAAATGTGCCTCGCCCCTTCAGTATCCTCTCTCGTCGGATATTCCTCGCAATTTTGCAAAGTGCAGAATTTCACTATCGGTATTGTGTCAAGCAAGGTCTTGGTAATATATGTCACAGCTTATTTGGATGCGCGGGGGGATATTTGAACGTATTGCGCGCCGATAGTAGCGAAAAACGGCAAAGCACATAGAGAATTACAATCATTGTCAGGCCAAGGAAGATTTTAGAAATAGATATGATATACAATGCCTCCGACTGCTTGTTTATTGTAGACGAGAGATTGATTGACGATGGCATTGCTAGCATGGTGACGACATGCGTGACAGCTATTAATTTGGGCTCCAGAGGTCTTTCACCAGTGTTGCGGCTGGATTTTCACAAGGCAGCTGACATCAAACAGCCCGGAATACGGACAACTAGCCACACCGATAACTCAGTATGATGAAATTATTCGCTCTTTACTCCTTGGATGTGAACCGAATAGAATTCTTATTACGAGTTTCGGAGACGAGATCTTGCGCTCAAGTATTATAAAACAGTCGGTGTTTGGCTTCAATAATTTGGATCGATATACAGTCTGGGAGTGTACCGCAATTGCCAGATATACCTTCGGGGTGGATCTAGGAGGAGCAGATAAGGGTATAACTATAAGGACACTCATTCATGTACTTAGTTTGTTCTTCATGTGCAGTCTCACGTTGTCACTTCGTTTTACTGTACCAATCGGAAAACCAGGCAGCGTGTTCTGACGCCACCTATGGTCAGCAGCGATAAGTTACAAATAAGACAACTTGGAGAGCCAATAATCATCCAGAAGACTCGAATTGCCTGTATTCGTCCCGGCTGGCAATAAAGTGACTATTTGTCATGTACGTGAGTCGCTACGAGCTGTAAAGTTACTTTCCCCTGCCCAGGAGAGAGAGCTAGCCACAGGATGCCGATACGTTGGGATCTCTCGTCGTATGGAACATTATCCGCCTTTGAACGGATTCGGACGCCGGATTTGTGTGCTCCACGTCATCCATCCGTTTCCTCCCCACCAATAAGTCAGTGGCGGTTTTGGATCATAGAGAAGAACATCTCCACTGGCGAAAACGTGCGGCAAAAACCAACCTCCCATAGCCTTGAATCCCTGCTCACATGCGAGGCGGTTCTAGCTCGTTCTGCTCCTTGTCCAATTGCCGGTGGTCGCTTTCACTCGGTCCGCCGCCTTTGGAACCCTGGACGCTTCGTGCTATGGTGCCTAGAACATATTCCCGCCAGTGTTGCACGTAGCGCATACACCCGGCCATACATTGAGTCTTCGAAAATTGAGATTGATGTTTTCTCTTCGACCCTCATCGTGCGCGTGGAACAAAAACTGGCTGTCGCGTGTATCGACTTGACCTAACAGGCGTATATACAGTACACCATTCTCATTCCTTCGTCCTTGACAATACTGGGCAACGAAATTTTGTGTTCCTATCCAAAATCTATGGCTGCGCCATACGGAGAACAAACCTCTGTAACCCAGTCAAGAATACCTTCTGCGCCCTCCGCTAAAGCCGAGAAGAATCACCTGAGTGGGCGCCGCTCTACATCTGACCCAGAAGCGTTGACTTCGTCCGACGATGGTAGGGACCACGCGCCGCCGACGCAGAGAATTACTACACCTGCAACTAAGCCAGAGCGTCGGGCCTCATGGCTGAATGACGTGTCGCTCGCAGCCGAGCAAAAGCATTCTCTGCTTAGGGGCCCGGTCACTTCTGGTGTCTCCTCAAGCACTTCTAGTGACCAGGTACCATGGACAGCAAATACCAGCGTCAGCAGGAGGCCCTCCAACTGGAGTCAATCCTGGAGAAGCTCTTTCCCCTGGGGCACTGACATCTGCAACACTGAACACGGGGAGGAAACACCACCGCACTTGTCCGAGATCATGGCCTCTCAGACCATGGCCAACCTCTCGCCTGCGAGTGGCCTTCTCGGTGACGAAATGCTCAACCCGATCACTCACACCATCCCCACTGAATCAGACGTTCCAGGCTCGGTTCCGCTGCATCTCACCCCCAAGACCCGCCGTTCCCAGTCATCCTCTGTCGGGCCGTTGTCTGCTTTTGAGCTACATGCTCGGCGGCCAAGCGTTCTCAGAGTACTGCGACACGATTCCGCCAGCTGCAGCCGTAATTGGGTGGAGGACCATGGTGAAGAGAGCCTCAACAACTCTGGTGGGGACCTCAATCGACCCGCTGATCAAGCTCGAACGATTAAGCAGCTTGCACGCGAAAATGCTCTTTTACGCCAGGAGGTCACGGACCAAATCTTTTCACTTCTTCGAATTCGGGGTAGTATCCCTAAAGAGGATCTTGTTGTAGACGATTTAGGGGAATTCCACGATGTCCAGGAGTACAGTAACTTGGGCAGCAACTCAAAGCGGCCCATTTCCGAGCATTCACCCGATTTGGGGCAGCAATTTTCATCATTCACTCCGAAGTACGTTCGCAAGTCTCATCGGCGACCTCGATTGGGTTTGGAAGTGTCACTGATATCCCTCACAGTCGTCCCTACACATTTGCCGATATGCCCATGCGTCGTATCTCCATCAGCTCGATTGACTCGCACGCATCTGCTACCACTCTGTCTGGGCTTAGGGACCGCAATGAAGGGTATGGAAATACCAACAACTTCTCTGACCTTTCTGTACTCCCCCAAACTTTTTACCCGTGCGGACAGACGTCGAGTGATGAGTGTCCATCAGACATTCCACCCTCTCCTAGTCGATATGCAATTTCTGGCGCTGATGACCGTCAACCGCAACTCTTGTCAGAAGCACGAAAAAACCAACTTCTATACCTTGTCACATTCAAGTGTCACCGCGCAGATATCTTCTATGTTCAGAAGGATAGTGATATTAATGTGAAGGCGGGTGATCTTGTCATCGTCGAGGCTGACCGAGGCACGGACTTGGGCACTGTGCAGCATGCCAATGTGACAATACAGAAGGCGCGCGACCTCAAACAGCGGTATGCCCAGGAGCACTACAAACGGCTTATGTTTTTGCATCAAAGACAACATGAGGGCCCGAACTTGGCAAATACAGGCATGCATATCATCAATGGTATGGACGGCGTGGGCACCCACGCACATGGCGTGCAGAAGACCGGTGCAAATATCAAGCCCAAGCTCATCAAGCGCCTAGCACAGTATCATGAGATCGAACCGCTGCGCAACAAGGCAGGAAACGAGGTCAATGCTAAGCGGGTCTGCCAGCACAAAGTCGCCGAACATCGGCTAAACATTCAAGTTCTGGACGCCGAGCTTCAAATGGACGGGAAGAAACTCACATTCTACTACTTCGCGGATTCGTATATCAACTTCAACTCATTGGTCGCCGAGTTATTTAAGATCTATAAGACTCGAATCTGGATGTCCGCCATCAACCCTGCCGCATTAATGATGCCGCCGACAGCCGCCCTGCAGGGACCCAGCAGGTTGAGCAACCCGCTTTACAGAGAGGACGAACGATATACCGACTGTCGCCACCTGTGTGGCGACTCGACCTACGATGGAGTACGGGATGCGGCCAATACTCAACCCGAGAGCACGCTTTTCACCGCTTACAATGACCCTTACGAACCATTGGCTCAGCCATCACGCCGAGTGGCCGCGGCGAACGAATCATTTTTCCATTCTCTCCGGTCACCTATTACCCCATGGAGATGACCCGGTTCAACTTCACCTATTACCGCATGGAGAGCCCGGTTCAACTATCTCGCTAGCGATGCCGGCTCCAGATTGGAGACCTAATAAGTGGAGAGCAATTGCCCGATCATGGTCATACTGGAGTTGCAGGCGGTGATTGTCAGGCACGACACGTACGTGGATCCAGGCCAGACGCCCGCGTTCCAAGCGCACGCCGTATCCTGGGATCGCCGGGCTCAGGGCCGAAATCTATACAATGCCTCCAAGGCCATGCTGGAATCGTGGAGAATAAGGAGCGGACCAAGCGGCTAAGAGGGCAGCCAGCAGTAGAAGCTGAAGCGTACCATTTGTTTTCGAAGCACGCCCTAAGTCAGGAGGAAAATTAGTCTCACACAGACCGTAGAATCACGAGCGAGACCCTCGATCAGTAGCAGAACTGCGTTTTCGAAAACTTGGTTTGGATGAACTACGGAAACGCCCGCTCGGTGAGAGAACGCGGTTGTCATGAATGATCCTCATTGAAAGCTTATGTACAGGCTTCTGCTCCACTGACGTTTTGGATTGGCATTGGTTAAATCTATGCCTACAGCCCTAGGAGAATCTAAGTTATAAATTGGGATAAACTCACCACAATCTCGGTCTGCCCATATGTGGGATATTGTAAAAGACGATACTTTAGTATCATGATCAAGATGCACAGGGTGTTGGGAATATAGTTTAGAGGCCGCAGGAGGGGCCGGCCGACAATGTCGACTAAAGTCCGGGACCCAATCGGTTCCCCGGCTTCCAATGTAAAAGCCGGAAGACCTTATTTACGGACGTCCATATGGATAAATCAAAAATCGGCATTATTTATACAAGCCATCTGCTAGAGTTATCGAACGGCGATCGAATGGACCAGATTGTGAGGATGTGTCGGGCTCAAAGAGAGTATAATCATCAGGGAAAAGCCGATGCAAGAAAAGGTACATAGCTTTTGGAACGTACTACAAACCAGATAGACAAAGAGCAGCTTGCCACTTGGCAGGGGAACTTACTCTTTTCCGAGTGCAAGTAGGAGAACACAACCACGGATCGGGTTTTAGCCTACCATCCTGTCGCCCATGTGCATGATATTCCAAATACCCGAGCTGCCCCAAAAGTAAGTACATGGGGGTTCAAATGTTCTTACCCACTTCACTTTTTCGGGTCCCCTCTCAAAATATATATATCACTTACACAGTATATAGCACCACCATTTAATGGTCTATAATATTGAACAACACTTTCTTGGCAAAAACGTTTTCTTGAAATATCTAACCAATCAGAGGTCCCAAGGCCTCGTGAATTAGTTCATCGTAATCGTAACCTCAAGCGCTACGGCCTGATACCCTTTTCATAGGGGAGATGGCAGCGATGGTTGGGACGGGTGCGAACGCACAGATTTTGCCCCCTGACAGGAGAGGAACACCAAAAACCACGGCCCTCGCGGATCCGCCCCGATCCATGGACGACATCGCGGAAGGGGCCCGCAGGGTGCTCAACCACATCGAAAACAATGGCACGGAGGACCGATATGTCACTGGGTATATTCGCGCCGTCCGCCAGTACGCACTCAACGCCCAACGGGGAGACGGCCAGGGGATGGCCAAGGTGCTCGAGGCGTTGACCAAAATCAACATCGACACCGAACGTCTGAACCAGCGAATGGATACCATTGAAAAGACAACGAGCACATTATCGACGGCACTATCTACCCCCGCGGCGAACTCTGCGGCAGCGTGGCGCAACTTCCGGGCCAAAGAATGGCAGCGCGACTTGGCTACGGCTGCGGCTCCTATCACCCGGAGCGGCGGCACATCGTCACCAGGAGTACCGGAAATGGAACTTCGCGAGGACCGAGAGGTCATCGTCAAGGTCGGAATGAACCGCGAGCAAATCCGTGGATTGACACCAAAAGATTTGGTCGAGAGGGCTGAACGACAGAGGGTATCAAATGCCCGTCAGAAGAATTCAGGGGTACTGGCCGGACAGGCTTTCTTTGTCGCTGCTCGAAAATTGCCGTCGGGGGATGTGGCAATGATCGCCAACAGTGCGGCAGGGGCAGAGGTCCTCCGCAAACATGCTGCGTGGCTGAGAGCCTTTGGACCAGGCTCGGTGGTCCAAGAACCGTCATGGGGAGTGGTGGCGTACCATATTCCCGTGAGGTCCATGAAGGTTACTCCGGAGACGATGGCTGACGTTGCGGCTGAGCTGCTCAGGCAGAACAACTGGGGCGAAGGCGCCAAGATTCAGTATCTAGGATGGATGACCCGTCCGGGTGAGAGGGCGGAGGGCTCCATCCTGATCGAGTTCACCAGCCCAGTCGTGGCTAATCGCGCGATCATCTCGGGAGTCGTGTGGGGGAAGCAAATTCACAATGCATCACGATTCTGTCGTGAGGGGCGGATAAAGCTATGCAGAAAATGCCAAAAGCCGGGGCATACCCAGTCACACTGTTCCAACTTATTCAAATGCGGTCACTGCGCCAACGGACACCCGACCTGGGAGTGTCCGTCGACGAAGGGGCAAGCGATACCAGTCAAGTGCGCCAACTGTGGTGAAGGGCATCGCCCTACAAGTCGGGAATGTCCGGTGAAGGTTGCAGCGATGAACGAAGCCAAGCAAGCGCTGGCCAACTGCCCTGCATATCACCGCGTTCCTCTGCACCTCCGAGTGACGGCAAGCACTGGCAAAGAAGCAACTTCGACCAGGGCAGACCCCATGGCCACGAATGGACTCGAAGCGTCGATACACGCTCCAGAGGAGCAACGGGGGGAAGAGCCCCGGCGGAACCCCCAGGATGCTGTAATCGACGTGGAGGCTGCAGCAATAGAAGTAGAAACATCACCAGAGGAAAACACTGAGCCTATTCAGCCTACTCAGCTCAAAAGAGGTCCTGGTCGCCCAAAAGGCTCAAGAACGAGGCCAAAGAATCCGAAACCAGCAATGATACCACTAGCATGCCAAGGGTCAACAAGGCTCCAAGCGGCCTCGAAAAGGCGCCGCACAGGCGAGCCGGACGACACCATGGACGAGCAACCAGACGACAATGAATGGCTCAGCATTCAACCCACTCCGGCCGATCTCCCTCAACCTGACACTCCGCAGGATAGCCGGGAACACTGACTTACCCAATTCATTAACGAGTTCACCTCTGTCAACATGGCCGGTAACACGTCCGAGCCTGATGACGAGGACGAACTGGACCCGGAGAGCCCCGAATACCGCAAATTGGTGGTTCTGAAATACAAGCAGCGACAAGCGATACCAATCGGATCTTCTCCGCCGATTTTTACGACGGATGCACCAACAATCGAAGACCCAAATGATGAAGTATGGCACGAGGCCAGCGAACGAAGCGATGACGAACAAACTCATCAATGAAATCGTTTGAGATTCTTCAATACAACGTACACAAATCGTGGCCAGTGATGGCAACGTTCCTCAGAGACAGAAATGTCCTCGCGGCGGACGTCGTCGCGGTGCAGGAGCCATGGAAGAACGAAATGCAACACACAACACACCAACCAGCGACGGCAACATTCCAGCTAATTTACCCACCAAAAGCAGCTGCCGACGGAACAACCCAAGGCCAGGACAATCAAGTCCAAGCCTCGGATCTCTCCCAACCGGGCGTATGCCTGTTTGTGTCTAAAAGGCTTGACCCGAGCACTTGGTCGTGTCAACTCGTCTCACAGGACTACCAGTTACTGAAACTTAGAAAGGCTCATCAGGGCAGAGACTGGACAGATCTCTTCATACACAACATATACAATAGGCCGGGCAGCAATACTCTTAGACATCTGAGAAATGAGCTGTCAAAACGACCTCATGGAGAACACATCATCCTTGGAGATATGAACGCGCATCACCCGAGATGGGGAGGAACAGGGACCAGGCTCGATCAGGAGGCCGAGCAACTCCTAGAAATCGCTAATGAATGGGGACTCGAGTTGACGACCCAACAAGGCAGACCTACCTGGTCTCGAAACGATCAGTCGTCGGTGATTGACCTCACCTTCATCACATCCAACCTTGTCAACAGGCTTATCAATTGCGAGAGGGCGGATGACATCGAACACGCATCCGACCATTTCCCGATCAGGACTGTGCTTGATATTATTACACCCATTGCAGTACAACAGAAGAGAAGAAACTGGAACGCAACCGATGATCAGAAACTCATCCAGAAGATCGAAGGAGGTCTACGGACAGGAGGCCTATACCGGGCAAATCCGCAAAGGATAGAAGCCAAATGCCAGGAGCTGATGGGAGCGATCCAAACAGCAATCGAGGAATCAACCCCATGGGCAAAACCATCCGCGTGGTCGAACCCCGACTTTGACGACGAGTGTAAAGTTGCGGTCAAAGAGGTTCGTCGCCTCCGTCGCAAACATACGAGAACTCAAGACCCCTACGACTGGATGTGCTACTCTGAAGCACGCAACAGAAAAACACGACTCGTCAAGAAAACCTTGTCAAGGGCGCACCGGCGCCGAGTCCAGCAGGTCGTTGAAGATGGCCCACAGGGTATGTGGCGATTGGCTAAATGGGCAAGAAACCGAGACGGAGCATATGAGAAGGGTATCACCCCTTCGCTGAAAATACAAGATCCCCAAATACCTGGGACTCTCGCGGAAACAGTTGAGCAAAAGGCAGAGGCATTCCGCACTGCCTTCTTCCCAAAACCACCACCAGCCGATCTATCCGACACAGATTCATTCCTGTACCCACAGCAAATTGAGTTTCCAGCAGTCACCGCTCAAGAGATACAGGAGGCGGTGCGAGGAGCGAAAGCAGGGAAAGCACCCGGAGAAGACGGTATACCAAACTCTCTCTGGCACAAGCTTATCGAGATACCGGTGATCCTAGAAACAGTGGTCCAGTTATTCAACGCATGCATAAACACGGGGTACAACCCGTCACATTTCCAGCGCTCAATCACGGTGGTGCTCCGGAAGCAAGGCAAAAGTGACTACCAGCTCGCAAAATCCTACAGA